CCCCCCGCTTTTTTTTTTCTTTTTTCTTGCCTTTTTTTTTTTTTTTTTTTCCCAGGGCATTTAACAGGAGAAAATTGATAGCGTTAACATTTGAGCTAACCTCGCAGCTCCTAGCTGTGTTTTATATGCCAAGAGGAGGGAAGGAGACGCTCGGTAAATACAAATCCGTGGGCATTCATATTATTTACATTCCTTGGAGACCTTCTCTATTTAAAATGATAAGATTATTCAATCAGGATGGTGAAATAAAGAGATCACTTAATTTTACCACGGGGAATTCTGTTCCACTTGGTTAGCTCAGACACAGTTCTCTGTCCTAACCAATTTCCATCTGAAGGGGAAAGCGGCTCCTCACCCCCCCCCAGCCCCCGCGGGTCCCCCCCCCCGCCGCCCTGCCCGCCGCCTGCTCACCTTGAAGAAGCCCTTGCAGCCCTCGCAGGTGCGGACGCCGTAGTGCTGGCAGGCGGCGTTGTCCCCGCAGACGGCGCAGAGCCCCTCGTTGGAGGGGGAACCCCGCGAAGGGGGCGAGGGCACCTGGCTGTCCAGCAGCTGCGGAGCGTGGCCCAGCTGCAGCCCGGGGAAGGCCATGGAGGGCTGCTTGCGGATGGGGTTGGGGACGGCGAAGGCCTGCCCGTCCACGGCGTGGTGGGCCCCGGCCGGCTCGGGGTTCATGGGGACGTGGAGGGGCCCGTCGAAGCGCATCTGGCAGCTGGAGACGGGGGTGCCGGGGGGCGACTGCTTGAAGGAGAAGAGGGAGAGGCGGGAGACGGGCGTTTTGCGCTGCTCGATCATGTGCGTGGTGGCCACGTAGTTGGAGTGGAAGTTGTGCAGGGAGCCGGGGTCATCCCACACGGGGCCGTGCTGCACCTGGAAGCCGGGCGTGGAGGGGGTCGGGGGCGACGAGGGCTTGTAGTACACGGAGCCTGAGTGGGACATCATCTCCTCGGACTGGGGGGGGAGGTGGCTGTGCTGCTGGTAGCCGTGCATCTGAATGTCTTCCACCTTAATGGAGGACTGCTGTCCGGAGAGGGGCATTTGGTACAAGCAAGGTGGCTTCACGTCGTAGCTTGTGTTGTAGTTGTCCATAAAGGTACTGAAGCTGGGGAGAGAAGTGGTGGCAGTGATTTCAGTGTTGGTGAGGTCCATGCTAAACTTGACAAACTCCGGAGTTAAGAAATCGGAGCTGTATTCTCCCGAAGAGTGGTAACTGTAGCTCTGGGAGGCCGGGCTGGCTCCTTGAGGCGAGGACCCATACTGAGCCTGAACACAGGGCATGGCTGGAAACGAAACAGGGTCATATAGACTCGGCCCGCAAAACCGCGCTCCCTCCGCCCGCCCCGCCCCTGCTCCGCGCCGGGC